TTCTCAATGTTATTTTTAAATGCAATTATTGACATAGTTTGAATTGCATAAGCTCAAATGTTTGAATGCGAGGTCCCAAGTTGGTGGGAAGATTTGGGAAAGATGAAATATTGTTGGAGAAGAGTCAGGCTTAAGATTTCAAAAGACTAGCATCGTTTCCTTCCCAGTGTGCTCTCTGTCTCTTGCTTTTAGTTGGAGATGTGTGATATGTGCTCCCAGCTGCTCCTGCTACCGTGGTCTTTGCTCCACCATCATGGACTCTAGCCCCTGGGACCATGTGCCTAATTAAATGCTTTGTTTTTTCTTTTTTTTTTTCTTCTTTCTATTTATTTACTTACTTATTTTGGTTTTTTGAGACAGGGTCTCTCCGTGTAGCTTTGGAGCCTGTCCTGGAACTCACTCTGTAGACCAGGCTGGCCTTGAACTCACAGAGATCCGCCTGCCTCTGCCTCCTGAGTACTGGGATTAAAGGCATACATCACCACCACCTGGCTATGTTTTCTTTTATACATTGCCTTGGTCATAGTGTTTTATGATAGCAACAGAAAAATAACAAATGGGGCTGGAGAGATATGACTCAGTGGTTAAGAGCACTGATTATTCTTCCAGAAGACCCAGGTTCAATTCCCAGCACCCACATGGCAGCTCACAACTATCTGTAATTCCGGCTCCAGGGGATTCAACAACCTCATACAGATATATATGCAGTCAAAACACTAATGCACATAAAATAAAAATAAATTATTTTTTTTAAAAAAAAAGAAAAGTAACTAAGACCCCATACAATGTAAGCATTTTAAATAGGTGCTTCAATTGTCACTTTAGAAACAGCGTCTGTCCTGTTCTAGCATTTTTCTGTTGCTCGGATAAAACGCTCTGACAGAAGCAACTTTGAGGAGCGGGTTTGGCTTCCAAGTCACAGTCCATCACTGAGAGGGGCGGGGCAGGAGCTCAAGCAGAGACTGAAGGCAGCCTCTTGTCATTCCACACAGCATTACTTCTACTAACTCACTCCCAGCAGAGAAAGAACAGCAGAAACCACGCAGAAGCTCTGTTTAGTGGACGGCACAGACTCCACTAGCTTCCTTAACCACCTGCCCAGGGAATGGTGCCGCCCACCGTGGGCTGGGCTCTCTTAGGTCAACTAACAATCCATCAGTATCCCATTGTGAAAACAGAACTTCCTTCTAAAGTAGTTTGACCAAGATGGAACCCAAATTTGAATTTCCTACTTCCTTCCATCTGTGGCCTGTGGGTGGTCTATCTGTGTTTTGTCTGTATGAGTATGTGTGTGTTTGTGTTTGTGTGTGTGTGTGTGTGTGTGTGTGTGCAATATGTCCTTATTGCCTGTTTGTTGTGCCTGTATCCTGTGTCTGTGCCTAAAAAGAGGATTTCTCTGTATTTATTGAGTAGCAGAGAAAATAAGGAATGGAATTTTTTTTTTTACCAGAGCTTTACAAGCAACGAGGTTATTTACTGACGCCAGTGGATCAAGACCTCACACAGATATTATCAACCTGTATCCACGTGTTGCTTCCAACATTTATGGGATATTTATTTTGTTTAAGGTTGCTTTCAATCTGCTAGCTATTTTCGGCAAATGATCACCACCACCACCACTGTCATCTACACATACACACACAAAACATAGCATTATTCTCTGTCAAAGTATGGAAGAGTCCATAACTTAAGATTAAAGCTGTGCATTTAACTTAGGCTGTAAAAGTCGACTGTGTGGGAAATCCAAGGCATAGGAAGGTTGGTTATATGGTCTCTTAAAGGCAGGTTAACCCTAGGCTGAGTGCACAGTAGGGCAGCAGGCTAAGTGCATAGTTTTCCATTATCAGATACTATTTATAAGGGTTATAGAGGTCTACCTTCATTTTGTATGCGACTATCCAGTTGTACCAGTAAGATTCACTGAAAGGAAACCATTGTTTATCAGTTGTAAAAGAAAGAAATAAAAAGATAGGTGTGGAACTCATGAGGGAAGATTGATTATCTATCTGTATTTGAACTTTCTATTTCCGAAGCCAGGAAATGTCTTTTGCTTTTTTCAATGTATATGTGTGGGGTTTTTTTGCATGTGTGTCTGTTTACCAATCACATGCAGTGCCTGAAGAGGCCAGAAAAGGGTGACGGATCCCCAGGGTTTAGAGTTACAGATGGTTGTGAGCCACCATGTGGGAGCTGGAGATCAAACCCTGGGTCCTCTTAACAGCTAAGTCAGCTTTCTAGCCCCAAGATTTCATCTCTTTACAAAGACAAGGAAATGAATACAGTTTGGACAGGTACTTTTTCTGTTGTATTCTGTGCAGTAATGACTATTCTGTTCTCTCCTCCACCCCCGTGTGTGTGTGTGTGTGTGTGTGTGTGTGTGTGTGTGTGTGTGGTGTTCACCCCTGATGTCAGACAGTAGTGTCTAGTACTGTGCTATGTTTACTTAATCTTTTTAAATGTACAATTTTAGCAACAGACAAGCCAGATGCCAAACTATGAAGATTCATGGGAGCCTTAAGCAAGCCTGTGAGTTATATTGGTCAGAAGTATTTTTGTGACGTCAGCTGTGAATGCTGACCATCTGGTTAACACTAGTCCAGGGAAGGTTACTTTCCTACTACTCTTGAATCAAGCTGCATGTGATATTATCGGAATTGTGTGGGCCTAAAACTGTTTCTAATGTTTGGGTATTTTGCTGTGCTCTGGGTACCACACAAAACCATCCATGTGCATTAAATGGTATGAAGAGATAGAAATATAATTAGTGCATCTTACAGGTGGAGGAATGGAGGCCTTGGAATAAGATGGATGGTATTTGCCAACACTGAGGAAGTAGGGAAACCTTGGTCTACTTTCTCTGAACTCTAGAGTCTAGAGCTTGATCCTCTGACTGCTTCACCAATTGCTTCCCTTCACTAGCAACCCACAAAAAGCACAGTTCTCACTCCAACTGTCTGAATAGTGAGCTGCCTCCCCCAAGCTCTGCTATGGTATTGTAAATTATCTTGTTGAATTTATCCCAAGTTGGACCCCAGACTTGATGTTTTAGCTGACCTAGAATAAAATCAGTGTTTTAGATACTAACTAAAATTGATCAGATTTTCAAGGCTTTTGAATAAAACCAGAATACCAAGTAATTATTTTTGTAAAGTAATTAATTTGAAATATCACATGAATACATTTAAACAATGAAGTCTCTTCCTATAGAGAGCTAAGAATGAATCAAATTCTGAGGCCAGGTGGTGGTGGTCCACACCTTTAATCCCACACTCAGGAGGCAGAGGCAAGCAGATCTCTGAGTTTGAGGCAGCCTTGTCCACAGAGAGAGGTCCAGGACATCCAGGGTTACACAGAGAAACCTTGTCTTGGAAAAAAAAAATGCCAGGCGGTGAATACCTTTAATCCCAGCTCTTGGGAGGCAGAGGCAGGTGGATCTCTGTGAGTTCAAAAGTCAACCTGGTCAACAGAGCTAGTTCCAGGACAACTAGGGCTGTTACACAGAGAAACTCTGTCTTGAAAAGCCAGAGAAGAAAAAAGAAAAAAAGAAATTCTGAAGGATGCTTGGCTGAGGACCATGAAGGGCTTGGCTTGATGACTCATTTAATGCCCACCCCATCCACATCCCCGGTTAGGAAGATTTAAAGCCTGTATTTTTACCCTATTTTCATAATAGGAATGATCTTCCCATGAAGCCAGTATTTGAGCTTTGGTTCACATTTAGTTTTTCCTTATATTATTATTTTGTTTAACTGGGCTAGTGAGATGACTCGGTAAGAGGCACTTACTGTTCAACCTAATTAATGACCTGAGTTTCATCCCCAAGACCCATGTGGTGGAAGGAGAGGACAACCTCCTGAGAATTGTCTTCTGGCTGCCACACATGTATACTGGCATACATGGTTACATGTGTGTGCAAATGCATGCACACACACATGCGTGCACATGCATGCGCGCACACACTCACACACACACACAAAAGTTAAGAGAGTAAATGTGGAAATGGAGAGGTGGCTCAACACTTAAGAGTGTCAACTGCTCTTTCACAGGACCCAGGTTTGATTCCCAGCACCCATGTGTCAGTTCACACCTGTTTGTAACTCCAGCTCCAGGGGATCTGACCCACTTCTGGCCTCCTAAGGCACCAGGCATGCAAGCGGTGCACAGGCATACATGTAGGCAAATGCCCATAGACATAAAATAAAATACAATTGTATATTAAATGTTTTTTAGGAACTACAAAATATGCTGGGTGGTGGTGGTGCATGCCTTTAATTCCAGCATTTGGGTGGCAGAGGAAGAGGCAGGCAGATTTCAGTCAGTTCGAGGCCAACCTGCTCAATAAAGCGAGTTCCAGGACAGCCAGGACTGTAACACAGAGAAACCCTGTCTCAAAAGAAAAAAAAAAACAGCAACAACAACAACAAAACAAACAAACTACAAAATAGTATAGGTTCCTGGATTTTTGTTTTGCTTTGTTTTGTTCGTTTGTTTGTTTTTCGAGACAGGGTTTCTCTGTAGATTTGGAGTCTGTCCTAGAACTAGCTTTTTTAGACCAGGCTGGCCTTAAACTCACAGTGATCCGCCTGCCTCTGCCTCCTGAGTGCTGAGATTAAAGACGTGGGCTACACCACCTAGCAGGTTCCTGGTTGTTTGAATCTTACGGAATTTTGTAGTTCTGAGACTCAAAAGGGGGTGCTTTACTCTAAAGTCCTCTGCTCTGTTTGCCTTTCATTGATAACAGACATTAAGAAGGTTAGTGGTCCATGCACATCTGCTTTTGTCCCCAGAATTCGCTGGCCTTTTCACGTCAGTGTAGAAGCTCTTGAGCTACGGGAGCATCACCAAACAGCCCCGGGTGTAGAAGCTTTGTTTGTTGTAGGTGAACCAACACCCGCTGCTTACACAGGAGCACTCAGGCTCCTACAGTTGTGTGACAGCTTGAGCCCACACATCACCAGTGCTCTCTCGAGTGCGTCTCTCTCTTAAAATGTTTGCCTCAGTACCTAACATCTGGAGAGAAAGTGAACTGCCAGCATCAAGGGGAAGTGCAGCAGCTGCGACAGAACCTGCACCGCCTGCAGATCCTGTGCAACTCGGCTGAAAAGGAGCTGCGCTATGAGCGGGGCAGGAGCTCGGACTTCAAACAGCACAACAGTTTGCTGCAGGAGGAGAACATCAAGGTGAGTCTCCCAGGCACATGCTTTTCTGCTCAGCCCCAGCGGTAGCTGGGCAGAGCCAAATCGCAGTGTTCATAGCTCCTTCTTCCACCTTCTCCAATGCCGACAGGGTGTGCATGTGTCTCCAAACAGGAAAAGGGGTACAGTGACAAAGACTGTGGAGATCTTTATCTCAGACTTTCTAACGTTTGATTTAATTTCAGTTACTGTTCTCCTTGCATTAGTCGGATATAGCCAGGTATATTTCTCCCCAGTAGATGTATCCATGGGGGACGGGGAGGAGCGGTTATCACAGATTTTTTTTTTTTGGAAACACATGAACAAGAAACACAAGAACAAGGCACCGTGTAAAGAATGTATCCTTCCAGCTACAGTTCAGTTCTATAAATATACATTACAGACTTGATTTCTAATGTATCTTAGAAACCCTATGTAAGATTCTAAGCTTGAGTATTCAAGGGCTGGGAATGTAGCTCAGCTGGGAATGGTAGAGTGCTTGCCTAGCGTGTACGAGGCCCTGGGTTTAATCCCCAGTACTGCCAAGGTGGGAGTTGCAGGAAGCTGGCAGATCAAAGTGAGCCCTCTTAGAGCAGTTTGCTTGGTTTTGAGATGTATCTTATAGACCAAGCTGGTCTTGAACTCACTATGAAGCCAGTGCTGACCTTAAACTCCTCATCATCTCGTCTCCACCTGGCTTGTGGAGGTCACAGGCATGTGTCACCACATCCAGTTTAGCTGTTGAACTCAACATACTTAAGCAATACTATATCTGCCTTATGATACAATGGCCAGAACGACACAGATCCTATTCAGTCCCTTATACATATGTATTGAAGGGGCAGTCTTCCAGAGATGGGTAAATGACAGCTTCGTAGAGAGAGAAGATGCCTTTCACTGTTTGAAGTCTCTCCCTTGGACCAGGTGTGTAGCAGCATCGTAAGCAGTAACTAGGTTTTAGAGTGCAGTTTGACCGTTTGTTGCTAGGGCCTCACAGTTGTTAGGTCCACCAGGGTTGCAAAGCGGAGAGACTGGAGAGTCTGAATTGAAACGTGGGTGGACTTTACTTTCCACACTGAAGCTGTCCTCAGCTTGGCATCATTTTAGGACCTCAGCTTTGCAAACACATGTACTGTGTGTGTGTGTGTCCATGCATGTGTGTGTATGTGTGGTGTGTGTGCATGAATGTGTGTAGTGTGTATGCGTGTATGGATTATGCTCATTTAAGTGTGTGTGTGTGTGTGTGTGTGTGTGTGTGTGTGTACATGAGTGCAGGCACTAACAGAGGCCAGAGGCCTTGGGTGGCCTGGAGTAGGAGTTACAGGTGGCTGTGAGCCACCGATGTGGGTGCTGGGAGTTTGCTGCGAACACACTTTTAACCATGTAGGACTCATTTGCTAAGATCCCCTCAGCTGCTCACTCTGACTCTCTACCACTAGGCATGCTTACTGGAGTAACTGACGCCCCAGAGTACTGATTTTGTTACCTTTGAACCATTTTGTCACAGGTCACACTACAAAGAATGTGCATACAATACTGATGTGCAGTCTAACAGGTTACAAAGTGATAGTCCGTGGACACCACCGAGATCCACAGAGAACCAAGCCAGCACGCTGGCAGCTCTGCAGGCTCTTTGCCTACTACAAGCCCCAGCCACTTTCTCACCTATGCCCCATGGGATCCTCTTTGGACTGCAGAAGCTCCCCTGCAGGCAGAGGTCGTTGGCTTAACAGCTTTTCCACCAGTGCCTTCTAGCTTGAGTAGCATCTCTGAGCTGTGCCTGTGGGCTCCATCAGGGATTCAGCCCTCAGCTTCCCTGCCCTGCCTGTGGGCTCCATCAGGGACTC